GCAAACCGATCTTTCTGTACATGCACGTTGTAATATTATTTCTCAAACTTTCGAATCGACTTCATAAACAAAACTTTTCGAAAAACTATTAAAATGAAGGGATCTCGTACTTACAGAAGGATCGACAAAAACACATTTCGAATCTCCAAAATGGTAAACGCATCTTTGATAACACATAAAAAAATACATTTGAAAAACGAATAAAGCCCTATTTTCTATTCCGTTATCCCCTAAAAACTTTTAAAATGAAATAAATTTGCCTTTCTATACTACCCCAACTACAAACGAGTTTGCCCCAGATGCGGCCACAGATTTGCATCATTGCAAATCCCTTAAGTGGCGTTTCTATTATCGCAACATAAATTTTAAAATTACGCTCATGTGTGTGGCATTCACTCATGCCAAGCACCGACTATGCTTTATAAACGTAATATTGAAGTACCGGTGTAGCTGAAAGGGATTTTCAATTTATTTTATTGAAATTGAAATACTTTTTTAGCAACAAACAATCACGGGCGTATTTCTCCCAATCGCAAAATGAATTTTTCCACTAATGCATAAGTCAAATATTTCATTTCATTATCAGAATAACGTAATAGATCCGAAATTGATTGAGCGCCAGTATGGCTACAATCTTTTCCTATTCATTCCGAAACTTTATTCTCCTTGTTGGAGTATATTTCAAAACATTAATGGATTTTTCCAGTCCTCCTCCTTACATCAGGGCTATAAGTAATTACTTAAGAGCAAATTTATTGTACACGTATATATTTAATTAACATTATTTAAAAATAGGAATTGGAAAAGTTTCTGAAACTCCAAAATGTAGACGCACTGCAATATCTGTTATTAAACCGTCAAACTTTGTTCGAGAGTTAAGATATTTATCTTTTTCCAATTTCTGAAGATACTGTTTTAAGTACGGGAATTTTAGGCGTCACCCCCATTAACATTTATATTGCGACCTTAAAGCAACGGCGCTGTCGTATTAATTAAACCCAGACAAAAGTTTAACGAAGCGTTAATTATTCCAAATATTCTATAAATTAGATTCAAATCTACATTTGTATTACGGACAGGATTCGACAATTAAAGAAAGGATGCAATAGGCCTCTAATTTCTCTTAGAAGTATTAAATTTGCGGAGATCAAAAACCAAGAAGGAAATTAGAAAAGTTATTTACTTTTAGGTTTGTTTTATGTAGAATAAAAGGAATTGAAATTGAATAAATTAGCATATACTTCCTTGGGTTGGGTATAGACCGCTCCAAACATTTCCATTTTTATGCGGAAACACATAATGTAGTACAGGTAGTATTTATTGGAGTCGCCTTATCTTAATGGTCTATCGAATGTAGGGTGAATTATCGCGTAACACTTAAGTAATTTTCATGCGTATAAATTATTTACAAAATTTACACCCTCAATTACTTTCATTTCCGAAATACCTGCAGTGTATTTTTAATTTATTGTGTACTAAGGGCGATAAAATCTAGGAATCCTTGAATTTATTTCGATCATTTTGGAATCCGTTCCACGCTGGCTCCTCCTTTTCAAACTTGTATGAACTTAATTACATCAAATTCTCGTTAAAACTACAAAAATAGTGCTTGGAGACAAATCCGCTAAAATTAATTTGGTGGGTCCCATTCAGTTCTTTTGCGTTTAAAACAAAAGTGCCAAGAATGGCTCAAAGTTGTTTGGGAAAACGTCAAAATAATCAACGCCAAGCAAATGAACTTCTTCCATCTTCGTTGAACGCGCATACTTTCTAATAAACATGCGCCTCAATTTAATTGATAATTATGTGATTTGTTTATATAAAATTAATTATATTAATAGTCACATGAACAGGCCCTTTTGATAATGTAATATAGTAATACTTATCACTTTGACATCGATGTTTAGACTAACTCTAAACAGTAGACGCAGTTCAATTTGCTTCTAATAAACCTTATACCTAGAGGGCATATCATATTTTACAGTAAGAATGCGTCATATGCGCGTTTATTCCTTATCACCGGTGACTAATCCTGTATCGACGTGATGGTGCCTTGACATTGTTCATTTTTTACACTTTACGTTACCAACATAGCATAATATTTTCTTGTCCAGTATAAGACGATCTGAGATTGATAATTATTTTACTGGAATTTATTTTTTTACTTATGATTAAATGTTTCTTCCTTTCGCTGCTTTACATAATCAAGGAAATTGCTGCAAAAAAGTCGAGATCTTTTTTCTCATTAAGAAAGTAATAATTATAACTTTATTGAAACATTCTTTTTTAAATAGTAACTGGAGAGGGTTTACGTTCAATGGTCCTTCGCAAATGAAAACAGAGCCCTTTAGAGCAGTATCTTGCATATCCCAGCACTTCTTTGTCCTACGGGAACAGTGCAATATCTTGCATGATCATCACAATTTTAAAATGTAATTTTTAGATCTCGGTTTAATTAACTTGAAGGTAGGTGAAATTATTAAATAATTTCCACCTTTCATAATGAAATTAAAAACAAAGTCGTGAAAAGTATACAATTATAATGAAAGGCAGTTACATCTCGACAAGAGGCATAAATTTCGCTTAGGTATACGATCCAGTTTAAACGAATTAAGTAAATTATGTTTATTTTCGTTTAACTGAATATTAAAGAATTTATTTTTCCATATTCAGGCTTTTAACAATACAAAATTGAATGAAAGGTGAAATAATAGTATTATACGTACGTTTATTCATTTATTTTATAGCAAATCTTAAAATGACATTTTAATAGGTTTGAATGAGTAGGCTAAGCCGTTCTTTAACCGTAAGGATAGATAAAGTAAAACAAATGATTGTGCATTCTAATGACATCTGGCATCCTTATTTCAAATGCACGATATAAAATGACGTTCAGAACGTATGACAATTATGATTTTATGGAAACAATCGCGATGGCAGAACCAAAGCTTGCTATTTTTGACGTCTTTGAATTAAATTCAGAATTGTCAGAAGCTTTACAATGATTTATATGGCTTCTGCTATAAAATAAAGTTTTGTATTATACACGACGATAAATGGAAACTAACCATCTCGTGAAAGTTAATTCACTCAATGGTTAAAATATCCCTTTATCGTCTTGTATAATAAATAAGCATTATTGTAGCTTACGAACTAATTAACGTTAAAATGTCATTTACAGGATGTCTTAAAGCGAGATTTTGAGAGGCATCTGTCCATTAATCAGCTTGAAAATGATTCACGAATCAAAATTTTTTAGCAACGGGCCCATTCCTGTCTTAATGATGACGTCGGTATGCAAAACTTTCATATATATGATCCAAAATTCATCCAAAGAGGTTTAGGAGCTTCCATTAGATCCCAACGAAAAATGACTTAGTGCACATCGCCGGAATTACATTATTAACATAATATATTGTAGCAAATATTCCAGACATTGGGGCGCCATCAAGGCGATAAAAGATTAATTCACCGGCGAAAAAGAATAAAAGCGTGTGACGCATTCTTTCCTTGATGTGATACGCATTTTTTCGAAAATGTCCGTGATTTTTCCTAGAAACTTTTCGTTTACTATAAGCAAATTCAAGCGTGTTTAATAGCAGCTCCAACATCGATGCCGAAGGGATTATTAGTAAAGTTTCGCGCTTGTCTGTTATAAATGTGAGTACCTTGTTAGTGATAGGTAATAAGTATCCCTTATAAATCAATCTGTTCAAGCACTGTTATAAAGTCATTATTAATTTCATTATTTTAATTCATTTTTATATTTAGGGGTTTCCACCCTCAATATAATGGTATTAAATTTAGGGATGACATTTTTACATATTATAATGTAATTAAACCATAAATGACGGGTCTTAGGATTTTCCCTGCAGTCGCCAAGGACAGAATATAATAAATTTATTCCTTTTTTTTGCACCATACTGTATAGTAAAACCGTGATAAATAATAATAATGTTTATTTATCCTGTTCCGACATAGAGATGTATAGAACAGAGTCAAACATGAGTAAGTACAAATCGCACAGGGTTTTCTTTTTGTGGTTGTAATGATTTCTATTTCAGCCATTTTAGGTAGGTTCGTATGACTAATATCAAGCAGACTGTCAACTATGCCACTTGGATTTCAAAAGCTCGGTACTGTAATAAATTATCTCAGGGGTCATCAGACAATAAACATGTTGGCTTACCCTATACTTACAATTTGCAACTCTGGGGGAAAACTACAAACAAAGCCATCTAACTTTAAAGTCGACACGACAGACGTTTCGAGGCACTTTTGAATCTCGGTAGCAATCGCTTGATATAGATGGCACGAATGAACTCCCACGTTGTGTAATCGGTTCTTTTATGTTTTTGATATCAGGAAAACCTTCTGCAGGACAATAACCCCGGCATAGCCCACACAAATACATGAAATAACACAACTACGGCAACAAAATGCAAGAGAAAATACAGAAATAAAACATCACAAATTGTACAAATAAATCAGGTAACCAAATCGAATGCATTCATAAAAACAACACACGTGCAAGTAGAAAACGATAAATCAATTTAGTATAAAAACAGATTATAACACATGTACAATCAATCGAGATAACACAACTCATGAAACGGTAAACTGCATGAACAAAAAAATGACGCATCAAAAGCATAGCTCTACTCTAAGCATCGACTTACAAGCATCTACAGAGGCATAGTCCTGGCACAGATATCTGTGGTCCTGGTGTCGTTGCATTCCAAAGTATGATATTTGGTAGAGATGTTCTACAGACCATGGGGAATAATTCCTGATATGGAGCCACCTCAATTTTTTCCGTAGGGACCCTATCGGAAGTAACGCGAACTTATAGAAAACGCACTGTAGCGTCTATATTGTTGGAGATAACAAGATTAGTATTTTTGTGAAAACTGTTAGAAATGATCAGATCCACAAATTGATATTAAACATGATCGGAAGTGATCTTTAAAACAACCGAAAGTAATACAGTTTTGTTGAAAATGTCGTCCATTGTCGGAGGTAACGATGTAGAGTAGGTAGTATAATCTGTTTGTAATTATTGGATCCACAATTGGCGTACGGCCTGACCGGAAGTTCAATTCCGTGCAACCGGAACTGAAATTCCCTGCAACCGGTGGTGGAAATTGATATAATCCATCAATATTTTACACAAAAAGTGTAACACATATTCTATGCAAGGAAGTCTTGCGGTAATAAATTTACAGTTCCTTGTGCAGGACCCAAAGCAGCGGCAATGGATAAATTCTAAACAATTCTCTGAGGCCTCAGGTAACAGTGCATTTCCAATAAAATTGTATTACTTCCGGTTGCTGTATCAATTTGTAGATTTCATCAGTTCTAACATTTTTCATAGAACACTAATTTGTTATCTCTATAATGACATACAGTGCGTTTTCTATAACTATGTATTAATTCCGGTTTATCACTTCTGTTAGGATCCCCACGAAAAAATGTTAGGTAGCTCAATATCTAGAAATGATCTCCATGGTTTAGAGTACCTACATCTCTCCAAAATTTCATGCATTCTTCACGAAATGCGCGATTCTGCCAGTTTGGGGTCTAGGACAATGGGGGTTTACAGTGTAGTTGAATTCCGCAGTTCTAATTTAATAAGCGTGTAGCTGAAACTATAAAACATTTTTTTGGACAGTAAAAGTTTATTTAAAAATAGAGGCTGATTAGCAAAAAAATAATGAACATGTGCGGTTTTAAAGGTTTATTCAAAACGATATGATTGTGGCGGGCTCTGTGACGTAATAAGCCCGACCAATCAGCTCCTAGAACCATTCAGATGACATAACGACTTGGCAATATTGCAGGAGAATGGCATTTATAACTTGCGTCATCTGTCACAGGCACTTGTCACTTTCGTGCTAGATGCAGTTAAACATCCCTCTCAAAACGTCAAATGTGACAAACGTCAGACCCTCGGGTAAGGTTGCCAGCTCACTTCTACGTGATTGGTTGTAGGTTTGTGACGTATTTAGTCTGAAGCGTTTCAAATTCGGACTAAAAACACAGCTTTTCAATAATTTATTTTGGGTTTATTTTACTCGCAAATAAAAATTGAGGACACACGGGTCTTTTTATTTTTAATGTACTTTGTAGATCAGAAATAAAAAATGAAGGCGGGATGAGCCCATTGCCCGAAAACAATTTCCCGAAAGACAATTCCCCGAAAACAGTTTCCCGAATGGACAATTGCCCGAATGGAAAATTTCCCGAAACACAATTGATCGAAGATTGAAGAACAATTGACGAAAGGAGAATTGACCGAAAATTGTATTTTATCACAACTTTATAAATTTAATAAGTCCCTACATCCCATTAGTCTTAACACTATAATGGTTTCAAATGCCTCCACAACATCTGCAGTAGGAACGAATGCTAAGGCTGACAGTAATCGGAGCTTTAAAGCAAAATCTGCATCAGTTTCGTACCTTCTTTTTAAACCGTCTGACTGAATTCAATAAGTGACGTTAATTAATTATTATAGTATTAAGACTAATGGGATGTACTTATTAAATTTATAAAGTTGTGATAAAATACAATTCTCGGTTAATTCTCCTTTCGGGCAATTGCCTATTCGGTCAATTGTGAATTGTCCATTCGATCAATTGTGTTTCGGGCAATTGTCCATTCGGGCAACTGATTTCGGGGAATTGTCTTTCGGGAAATTGTTTTCGGGCAATTGTCCAGGAAGGTATTTTTTTTTACTTATGGCGCATTACTAAAGTGACAAATGCCAGCAACAGGTATTTAAGTGAAAGTAGATCATCACAGATACAAACACACATATTAAAACAGAAGAAAAGTTAATTAGAGGGCATCCCTTCTCGTATTGCTAAACACAAGTTTTGCAGCCTGCACGAAATGAAAAACGAAACATATACAACGACAAATGCGGTGCTTTTTTTCACGGAAATAATTGGTTAGATCAAACATCCAGGGCGACATCACACTGATAATCCACTCACACGTGAACATGTAAAGAAATACTTAAAGAAACAATATAAAGGCATAATAACCTGTACAGTATGACAAACAAACATGATTCAGTAACGATACATACCTAAACAAAATGTTGAAGTATGACCGAATTTGATATCAGCATTTTATGCAAACCTTACAAATGAGAAATAACCAAATGTCCAACTCCGCTAATACAGGATATGCGAGTTCGAATTCCGAAGTTGTGGGGAAGAGTCAATTTTCGCATGTATGCGGACGCGTCTATCGTTTTTAAATATATGCGGCCGGAGCAACAAAAATAGTCCGAACCGTAGTTTTTATTTTTTATTTAAAAAAAACTGTTTTTGCATAACACTTCTAAAAAATTGTTATCGTGGAAATCGATAAACTTCGCGCTCTCTCTCTCTCTTAAAAATGGTCGCACATGCGCAAATAGACTGTCGACGGCAGTTTCTTTGAATGTAACGCGTCTTTAGGAAGTCATTGACGAGTGAAGTAATTAGTGTAGGTATGACATGTGCTCTGCGCGTAGGAATTTTTATCGATTTTTTCGATGCCGGTAAAATGTATATTCAAATTTCAAATTTTCAAAAACTAAGTTTGGATTCGTTACTTAAAATTAAAATTCGTTTGTTCACAGATATACAATGATTAAAAAACTGGCATCACTTAAATAATGAGTACTGCGTATACAGGGTGTTTCAGATGCAGTAGGATTACACGTTATTATTGAAGATTTTTTTTAAATTTTTATTGCATATTGTCCCAGATGAACAATAAGTAAATTTTGTAATAAATAGCGCACTAAATTAACTAAAACACGCCGAGAGCAATCCACTGAAAACTCTCTTAATTATTGAAGATAAAGAAAAATTTAAAGAACCGGTCCGATTAAAAGTTATAATAATGACTCCATAGTTATCTACAAGTTATAAAAAAAAGTTGAATGTCAAAATGAAATTCAGACGGCCATTACAGGCATAACTTTCTTTTTTTTAAATGGGTACCATATTGGATTTTCGCATTTTCGCAAGAAAACTTTTCTCTTTTTGATTATGTAAGATATTAATTATTTTTGCCTGTAAACCAAGTAAGCTAATCTAATTTTTTTAGTCGTTTATCTTTCGTCGTTAAATAAAGAATAAAGAAATATTTTTTAGTCATCTAAAAATTAAGTACGCGCCAACAGTTTTTAATAGGCGAAATATGTTTAGTCTTCATTTAACAATGAAGGGTCAAAGAATGATTAATTAAAAACTTGACCAATAGTCTTGATAAGCAAAAGTAAGCCTAACGAATTATGCACTTTACTCAGTCATGAGATACCTATATCTTACATCGTTGAGAAGAGAATAAAAGGCTCTCTTTAATCATGTAAAAATCCAACATTGCACTCATTCAAAAAAAGGAAGTTGATATTCATACGTCGGTAACCGCCATCTTCAATGTTAGTTGGACATTATTTTATTTCGAAGTGCGAAACTTTCATATTAACCTTTTTTGTGTAACTTTGATAATTATAGAGATATTTAATCTTTAAACTGCGTATTTCAGGTTTTTTTTAAATAACTTTTATTATTTTTTGTACCTATCCGTTCACATTTGTAAGCAGTAAAAATTCATTTGCAAAATTCATTTCTAATTCCGCACCCCAAAAAACCGCAATTTGGAGAGGTAGCGACTATTGGAATGTTTTCCGTGTGAAAGTACCTACCTACCATATTTTACTGACCTAGGGGAGTTTTCGGCGAGATTTGAGTCAAATGAAGTCCAGCCAGTGCGAATGTTCGCTGATTTGAATAAGGTGCGAACGACAACATTCTAATTGCGTAAATTCAGCCAATTATGCACAAACAAGTAACCCAATAGGTATGTGTTAATGAAATTAGCCATAAAAACTACAGTACCTACTGCCGGAGTCTGTTTTTGTACCTACCTTTTGCATCAACTATCAACTTGTCTTTTATATTTTGTTTGCTGCTTTCTTACCTTATAAATCTTTTCTAATAAGTACTTTCTTTTGTTTGCAGGTGTTTGTGTACGAACGCACGGTTTATCGTGAGATAAAGGAGAGATTAAAAACGCACGGAATATCAAACCTGAGTTCCGTTGAATTATCAAACTTCTTTAGTCCATGGTACGCCCAGCACATGGGAAAAATCAAGGTGGCAAGCGGAAACAAGACGGTGGAAAGTTGGTGTCACACGAAGCTGCGCGTTCACTACTACATATTCTCATATCCCAGTCTTTTAAAGATACATTCCAATCCGCAATTGTTGAGCGTCTTAAATGGTCTCTTGCAAAATGAAGCACTACTTCAACTCGACATGCGTTCGTTAGCACCTGCGTTTAAGGATCCGGAAAAGCAGCAGTGGTTCGAAGAGGTACTGGACAATTATTTAAAATTATGGGAAGTCAATTTGTGACGGGAAGTGATGGCATTCAGTGATTGCGTATTTCCAGTGGATGTGATAACCGAGTGTGATAAACTTGACGCCTACTTGTTAAGGACATATAATCACGATACTCAGGATTAGAAAAGAAAAACAATTTTGTATAAAATAAAGCGATTTATGTCTTCGAGAGAAGAGAAGGGTTTAGAAATACAACTTACAAATTTCCGACATGTTTTTTTTAATTAATTGGTCCACTATACTAAGTAAAGTTAAAAAATAATCAGACATTATAAAGTTAATCACAGAATTTTAAGTAGCGATCCGGTCACTGTACGATTAGTCGAAGATCAGGTGAATTTCTTAAATATTGACATTTGAACACAAGCTTGTGTGTCTTTCCCTAGTTTTTTGCCGTTTACCACCATTACTCGAGGGGTCTCGACGCGAATAAGGCGAAATTTGAACCTCTGCAAAAAAAGTGTTCAGATGACAATCCTTGGAGCATATTTGACTGTCAAATATCTACCTTATTGCCGTATTTAAAATCTACATCAGTGACGTACGGTTCGGGAATAGCCACCGAATCGCCAATGATCACTCCTCGACTTTCAGCCAAATTAAAAACGGTGACGGCGAGACAAGTTCCTAACTTACTGACCAAACAGAATGTACTAAAAATGATTAGTTGTTAATACCAAAAAAAAAGCCATTATATAATTTATAATTGTACATAGTTACTATTTATAAATGTACTCTCACTGTAAAAATGATCAATGTGTATATATATAGAAATTAATATTTAGTAAAGAGTGTAACTTACAAAGGTACTCCGTCTTCATTGTAGACAGAACAAACTACTTTTCCCAGAATGACCTTTTCCTCATTTAATCCCTCTTGTAGATCTTCGAATTCGATGTGTTCCAATTTGACGGTGGTCCGTCCGCTGAGTGACGTATAAGATCCGCCACCATATGGTCCTAGTTGTTTGGCATCTATGGACTATTCAAAAGGGTTAATAATGCACTAAGTATATGGAGCTTTAAATTCTTATCAATTTCAGGGATACTAATATTAATACAATTGGTATGAGAGTTCTACTGAATAAATTTCCTAGTAGATGAAAAGACCTGCTCCGATGTAAATATGTCTACTAAAAACATATCACTTATTTATCATTTATTTATATTCATGTGACACCAAAAAGTCAAAAGCTGTCCATTATTTGCATCCCAAAATAAAAGGCTAAAAGTAATTAACCTGCCTGTGTAATTTGCTGTAATCGCTTAGCTTTCATTCTACCGGAGTTATTGACGAAATCCGTAACTTGCTCCAAATATTTTTCCAACTGAGTGGTTTGGACTTTCGGCGGATCCCAGCCTGGCTCGTACGATGACGCAATATTGAAAGAGTTCAAGGCCATTTCGAATTCTTCCTGGTACTTCAAGGTCTGCAAAACAATTTCTACAAAATAATCGATTAAATCGAACTAAAAGCCTTACAATCGCTTTGTTGTAGTGTAAATCTGGATTACTTTTGGCAGCAATGTCTTTTTCCTGCAAAAAACTGTGATTAGCATCAGTACAGCAGGGGGCAAGAACTCACTGCGTGTATATATGCGTTCAAGCATAACTTTAATGTCTTAGGAGACTGTGATAAGCCGAAAAATGATGATAAATGTGCATTTCCTAGAATAATCCACGAGAGGCCATCATTCGGATCAAGTTGCACGGCCTCCTTAGCCAAAGATAAACCATACTCGACAATTTTTCGTTTTTCCTCTGCGTTTGCAACTGATTTCTGTCTAGATGTCATTGATAAATTCCTAAGAGACACTTTATTCTTACCCTAAACAACACTTATTAGCATAGACAAAGGACACAAAAACCGGTTACATTATTTAAAGCTCCATTAAAACAGTTTTCCGCTTCCTTAATATTGTCATTTTTCCAATAGCATTCGCCTAATTCGTTCCACGCCTCCACTAGTTTTGGATCTAATTTTACAGCCTTGGACAGGAAATCTTCCGCTTCCTTAGAGTAGTGAGGTAAAACGTTTAAGGCTTTACCTTTCAAATAGTAAAATGTAGCTCTGTGGGCCTTCACCACCAGGTCTGCATTGTATGCTCGTTAATCAACTGACAATGTAATTTGGTACACACCTTGATGTTCGTTTAACAATGCCAATGTATCGTCTAACACCTTCTGCACTGCCTGATTTTTGTGCTTTGCTTCGTCGATTGAACGATTCTCAAAGTAATGATCACGGAATCTGTATAACGCCTCCACTTTATCCTGTAATCAGTGTCAATTAGTCCAATATTGAATTTGTGGGCGCTGTTTAATTGAACACCTGTTTCAATTAGGTCACTTACGTTTAACATTTTTAAAGTATCATCAACGTTCACATGAATCCTTAGAGATGCCATGTCGTTCTCATCTAAAGAAGTGCACATTTTTTAAATAAAATTATTGTAAAATACTTATATCTAAATTCTTAAAACTAAAAACAAATTTGAGGTTATCTTTCAATGTAGTTAACATTGGTAGTGTCTCTGCAGCTGGCTGCGGGAGTTACGTCAAATGCAATGGTTGCATTCGCAAATTCCTAGTACTAGCCGGTATAGCTTAATTTGGCTCTTAAATCAAAACATATTGGATTTCTGTATGTTTGATGGTTTCCGAAAAACAACAGTTGACAAATTTGTTGCACTTTGGTAACTTTGAGTGTGCTACTAAAAACAACTGATTAATTTCTGTTCAACTCCGACCTGCGCCATTGGTTACAGATGAAAACATTTTTGTCAAAATCAGTGACTGATCACGGATTACCCAAAAGGTACAATAGACCACAGCCTAAAGGTCCAAACGTTTGTGGGAGCCAAAGCGATATTATCGTAATGAAAATGCTCCAGGGGTTCACAAAGGCACAGAAATTAATATAGTTTAGTGACCGTTGTTGGATTAATCCGCCTCTGAGGACGAAAGAAATCAAAATCAAAGTTGTGTTAGAGAATTGGATAAGGTTTCAACTGACTTTTCAGGCGACCAACCATTAAAAGTCAAATGTAAGATTTGAAGGCCTGTAGTAGAGTTTGCTATTCCAAATGCAGTGGTGCCTGGTCTTTATCTGTAAATTTTAGTTCTTTAATTGATTGACCATATAAGAAGCTAAGAAGGCAATCCGAACTTTTTACGATTTTTCCATAACTTTTAAAACTCTTTTCCGGGCATTATAGTAGGCTTTTCCATGGTCTGTAACCGTCAATAATTGTTTTGCCTGAAGGGGAGCATCAAATCCGTACTTTAAGAGACTGTGGAAGACACTAAAAGGCAATCTGAAACCCTCTCGTCTCCCAAACATCTACCGTAACTTCATACCTCCATCTCTAAGCCTTCCTAGAGCTGTTTGGATATTTCCAAACGCATTTGGACCTTTACGATGCGATTTTATAATTTTTAGACGTTTTCTAAGGTTTTTTGGGCTCGTTATAAGTCCCTTCCAAGAACTGTACAACGAGCGTACATATAAAAACAACCTCAAAATGGCTTTAAAAATGTAAAAACTCATAAGGCATCTATGCAGCGTACTAGAAAATTACATTTTTCCCATTTTTCCGGTTTCCCGAATTCAAAAATAATTAATGAAGTCATGCGCAGATGCAGAAATTTTCAAGCTACAGGAAACCTATTTCCAACTTAGCTCTAAATTCATTATGGGAGAAAATAATTCTGTATAAAGAAATCCCTATGGTGCGTAAACCGTTTCGACACTATGCATATGCTCTGAAAGTAATCTAATAGGTTCGGGAAGAGTTCTAAAAGGATTTAAACGTGCTTTAGAGTGCAACATCATTCGAAGTTTTTTTAGAGCTTTATAGACGTTTTACCGAGTTTTATAAACTTACATTTCTCATCTGCCAGATCACTTTAGGTTCTCTGGAAAGCTTTTTTTCCAGTTTTTTTCAAGAACACACCAGACAAAACCTTTACTAGAAATATTCAATATTGTTCCAGGGTCTAGCTCTAGCCCGTCTAGCTCTGACAAGAGCATAGAAAGAATAAAGTGCGCTTATGCTTTTTAACAATGAACGATATACAAAAAGTACCTACTATATTCCACTGTACGAACGGCGCCCCTGTACATATAAGTTCGCGGCAAAATACGCATCGATACGGTAGCCACTACCATCACCTAAATAGATGGCGCAATCTGTGGCTAGCTTTCATTCAAAAATCAATCGTCGTTAACAACCGCGCGTTTAGATGGCGCGTTTTATAAAGTAAGAAACCGAAAAATCTAGCAGTTCAGCTGGACGAGTTGGCGCAGTGTCGTTGCGCAGAAGGTTGTTCGTGGTGCAGTGCATTGTTATTATTACAAAGGGTAATCTTCGAGCTACGAAGGTGTAACTGTTTTGAAAAAGTGTTGTTATTAAATAAAACGTGCTTCTCGATTATCGTAGTCATGTTTCGGGAGGGATATATAATGGAGTTTTAAGAAATAAGTGCACCTGCAGCCTCGAATACGAGGAGTATACGATGGAGTAGTGTTTTTAGTGTCCTACATTATTTTTGCTCAAAATAGTGCCGCCTCTGATTACCTGGATATCTATTAGGGTACAACAATGACAGTGAGAAACATCCCTGCAGATAAGGTGAGTTTTATTCTTAACCGCACCCTTCCTGTTGGAAATGTGGTTGCGAAGACATACGTGATACGGCGACCTACTTCTTTACCCCACATATTTTTTCTAAATCTGCACAAATGTTTATAACTAATGCGGGTGATAAGAGCGATTAACGCATCTTCGTGGTAGCAATTGATAATCAATTCGGCACGTAACCGCCTGCGATTTCACAAGTGCCTCGTTTCTTTAAAGCAAGTTTTCATTTATCCGAAACATTTAAAAATAAAATTGTGTTATTGTCAACGAACTGCATGATTCACCTCCGAAGAGGTTGTTACCCCCCTCCGTTCAATTACCATGAAATACTGTTATTGCTGTACTTCCCACAATTTGATTGTTTTTATTATTGTTGTCGGACGTTCCACGGGATTTTAGTACGACGGTTTCCAGGAATGTTTTTAAATTTTTTAAACGAAAGGCGCCGAGCGAATTAAAATTTCAATTTACAGAATCCAGTATATAATGAAAAACCTCGTCGAAACCCTTGTGTAATGAGAAGTTTGCCTGATTCCAAGTCTTTTATTATTAAATTTTCTCTGAT